ATCTAATAATTTAATAATATTTTTCAATTTTATTTAACCAATTCAGTATTTGTTCTATGCTCTGAATGCCAAATAATATAATAATATAAAACAAATCTCATTTTCAGGACAGAGTTTACATGAAGCAGGTTATGACCACTGGGCACCGAACGAACCGAACGAACCGAACAACGTGGCTAATCGCGAGATGTGTGGCGCCCTCGACAGGAACAATAACGGCTTAAACGATTGGCCCTGCGACGATATCTTACCGTTCGTCTGTGAACTATCTAATGTTAAAGAAAAGAAGCAATTGGAAAAAGCAATCAACATCCAAGAAATCTTTCAACTTTAAAATCAGTGTTAGCTGACAAATATCAACGGATATATATCTTGATATACCTATATCGATCGATATACATATACGTTGGTACATATCAATTGATAATTATAATATTTGTTGTTAGTTTAAGTATTGAATCTCAGGTAGAAAATTAAACAACCTGATGTGATGCTGGCCACATTGGCCCGAAATAGCAATCTTACTTACTAGAAATTTCGGGTTTTCCCCTATACGTTACTGGAAATCCTTGCTCGCATACTACTTACTTACTTTTTAATTATTTTATAATAAATAAAGAAAATTAAATAACTCACACTTTATTTTAAAAATTAAAAAATATTTACAAAAGCCACTAGCAACTCAAAAGTCGCAGGCTTTCATATGCATGATATATATCAAATGTTGGATATATTGATATTTATTATAAATATCGGATTTTTAAAAAACCTGTTCAAAAATTTATATTCAAACAAGTGTCTAATATGTGATTGATTCATTTTGTAAATATTTAAATAAAAACTAGCTGACCCAGCAAACCTTATTTTGTCTTGTCAATTATCAAACTCAAAAAAAGTATGCTAACTAAAACTGTGACGCGAGAATTTTATTTATTAGAAAACGTTAAACTTTATTAAACACTAGCTTTTGCCCGCGACTTCGTCCGCGTGGTAGTTACTTTAAGAAGCATTTCTAACGAATATTTATTCATTATATCATGTTAAATACCTGAAATAAAGTTTCATCCCCTATTTTATGAAATTTATCAAAATCCTTTCTTAGAGGATGCCTACGTTATAGTAACTTTATACATGCACGTTCTCAGCCCGATCGGTTTAAAATTGACACAGTTTCATACAAACTTTCATCCCCTATTTATCCCCTTATTATCCCTTTGGGGGAAATTGATCAAAATCCTTTCTTAGCGGATGGCTACGTTATAACGTCTACCTGCATACCAAATTTCAGCCCGATCCGTCCAGTGGTTTGGGCTGTGCGTTGATAGATCACTATGTCAGTGAGTCACCTTTGAATTATATATATTTAGATTTTAGATAATGTATTTTTTTTATAATTAACTGTACTATTCATATTCCACATTGTAATAAAACATTAATAAATGATAAAACATTAATTTGTGCATTACATTAATGATGTGAGAAAAACATTGAATCAATTAGTAAGGAAAACACTTTTTGGGTCTGTGATCTCGCAGATAAAAGGCACCTGTTCACGACACAATATGTCGTATAAACCAGAATTGTCTCTCGCAATAGCCCCGCACTGTTCCTCCAACACATTAGGCTCACCACTGGCCCACCGTCCATAACCACTGTCCTCAAGTCGTTTTCCTAAAACATAAATTAACACAATAGTAAAAAAAACAACATTACACAACTTTGCTCTGAAAACATCATGAATTAATCATCAGCCCTTTTACGTTCCCACTGCAGGGTGAACAGGACCCAGGTAGGCTTCCTTGTGATTGTTCAAGGAGGATGGGCCATGACCCTCCTATTATCGACTGAACATGCAGCACCAACAGCTTCACAACGGCTTCACATGCATTCACATGTATAATATTTTTTGATCGACCATCCCGTTTTTTGCGAAAGTTGCTTAACAGCAAGGATCGCGGGACGCTGCGCTTATCCACTGCGCCAACGAGTTACTTTGGCCTCAATTCTGTTAATTTTTAAAGGATAAACGCATCTTAATAGAGTCCCAACTATTTTCTTTTTGCCATTGTACTACCTACCCGAAGTCCAACATTGTTATAGGTGCAATGTCTTATTGAAATATATCATTTATTACTTTGTGATCTACTAAAAAGAACTGTGTCATAAAGAGTTCTAGTTAAGACACTATTGACTTTCCGTAATTAGGCTAATACATATTAGAAGAATTGCTTTAATTGTCTTAAAAAAAATTGTGACAGCAAAATTTAAATAACACTCGGAGACAAGTTCATTGGTGTCTTATTTAACTACTGTACATAGATGCTTGGAAAATTGCTACAAAATATAAAGTTTTTTGTGTCGCTGCTAAACAAAAATTTTGCTGCCAAACCAAAATCACAAGTATTGAAAAAGCAAGAAAGAAAATTTTCTTTTACTGGACTGGATTATACAAATAAACGAACCAATACTTGACAAGATTACATTAATTTCTTAGAAACTTCAAAACCACCTTTCAGTCCCATCCTGGTTATTATTTCAGTGTCGGACCAATGAAATTCTAAATTCAAATGAAATCTACATCAAAAGGTTATATTTTTATTTCGATTTACGATTAACGACGAGTTCGAGGGTATTTTTTAACAGAATAGCATTGCTGATATTGGAGGCTAAGGAGTTATTATCATGTGGAAATACGTACCGTCAAGAGTGAACCAGAAGGCGCGGTCCACCCCAAAATTGGTGAAACCGATGTGTAAGAACGCTGCAGCGTGACGTACAGTGTTTGGATTACAGTTTATAGGCTTCTTTGAGTACCTAATAATAACATCATTATTTATATTCTTAATGAAAACGCTAAAAAATCCATCAGTCCCCGACACTCTGAGATGGGACTCGAACCCACAACCTTTCGCAATCTGGGCGACTGCTCTAACCGCTAAGCTACCAAGGACCTAACTGGACTGACGAATTATTCAAGCGCTTATTACTTTTCGCTACTAGTAAGCGTATAATCTACGCAAACACGGAGCGCTGAAACTATGTATTTGACTTGAAAAAATAACAGTAAGTCCATGAGCTGCTAATGTAAGTTCTTATAAATCCGAACAACAAAGCAGGGCCGGATTAGCCACGTAGCAAAAGTAGCTAATGCTACGGGCCCCGCCTGTTTGGAGTCTTTTACACCCCTCCAATTGGGAGCCTTTTACATGAGATCATAAATTCTACAAAGTTAAGATAATTAAGCAAAACAAAAAAGATACACACCAGTCAAATATGAGTTTCGCCTCGCGCTCGCTGTTCAGTATTAGTAGGTGACCACCTTCAGCAGAGCAGATCATATGAGCTCGTTGCCACATCACGCAGTCTCCATGGTACTTGTAGCAGCTGCCCGACTCGGGATCCAGCTCATATCCTGATGATGGTAATAAAACAGAAATACCTATGACATTTTAGATCTCAAAATTCTGATCACTATAGAGTTATATTTATAAGTAGCTGTTTTCTCTTAATTTCACCCACGTAATATGTAGCTTCCCGTAGGTGAAAGAATTGTCATTATCGAATAGGAACAAAACAAAGTTAGAAACTTTAACAATACAGAATAATACTTCCACTTATCAGCTACTTACCTTTAGCGTAAGTTCCACATTCGCTAGACACATTTTCATTGCCATCCTTTAGCTTGTAACATATATATGGAAGTATATCATTATCATGAACGTCGGCGAAGGTGCCGTCTTGTAGAATAGCCAGACTGCGCTCCTTGTGTTTCAAGTTATTAGGCTCCCCCTTTGCCCACTGGATAGGCATATGCAACAAAGGTACTCCTGTAATAAATAAACAAAGTATTTTGCACCGATTAATGATTATGAATCTTTAAATATACTTGAATAATTTTGGATAAATGATTATTGTAATCACCATCATAAGCTTCCGCCATAGATTTATATTCAACATCATCTGTTCAGTCTAATCTGTTAGCGCTTGTGAATGTCGGAAATTACGGCGGAAGACATTGTACTGAAAAACTGGCAAGAGTCGTAGGTAGTTAAAGGTACGAAGGTCATTAGAAAAATCATCAATACATGAACGCTGTACACTTAGAAAGTGAGCCAAATTCAATCAGTCACTGAATTGGTAATGGTAACACTAACACTCATGCTTAAGATTTAGAATGATAAATGTTTGATTCAATATAAAATAGCATAACCATACTTACCTTCCATGGAATAGTAGTCTCCGGCGGAGTCCATCATGTGCACGCCCGTGAACACTGGCCCAGACTGCACTAACATCAGACTTTTAATCACAGCGTACAGTCGATCGTTGATAGGAGACGCCAAATTGCCTCCTATTCAAAGAGCCATTTCTGATTTCATGAATACCAATAATCGAGTACCAGTTGAAATAATCACATTCATAACTGTCGATAATCTTAATAGATTAATCGACAATTCGAATTTAACAATTTGTTTGCAATAAAGAAAAATAACACTACATTGAGCATTATTTCCTGGCTTTTAACAAATTACTTAAAACTATTATGCTTCAATTGTAAACACAATTGTAAAATGTAAATAAATATACTACATTACAAGTTATTGAAAAATGCTCAATTGGTGTGTAGAAAAATTAAAAAAAATAGAATTGCGCAACGGCACCGAAGTGTGAAGCAGTAGTCCAAGATGTATACAGCTCAGTGTTGAATGTTCCATACAGGAACATACACCGATTTTCAGCTGTACCCTTCTCGTTTGGCCGCTAGCGTTGCCATAAAAATGAAATGTGGAGTGAGAATACAAAATGTTTCCAATGTATTATTCAATAATGAAACATAATAATAGATAAATATTATTCTTACACCAGTACATAGCACAGACACATGTATCCCTCTTTGGCTCTAACTAAGAAAAAAACACAAATTCATAAGACGCTACTGTGACCACTTGTATACTTGATTTTACTTAAAGAAAAACAATAAGTTAAATCCGGTTTACTCTTTACTTTTTGAGAGCTTCTTTTGCTGCAATCTCAGCAGCTTCCTTCTCTTTTCTTCTTTTCTCTATCCTCTTCCGTTTCGCTTCTGCTTCAGCTTTTTCCTTTATATCATATGCGCCGGATACTAAATCTTCTATGTAGACCAAACCTAAAAAATACTTAATATTTTTAACTCATCACAAAATGATCAATGGTATGTACTTGTAGTATTAAAGACAATGCAAAGGAGAATGGGCAAATGTGGTTTCGCTTTGTGACGATATCAAACCTCTTTTAAAAAATAAGTTTTTAATTTTACCTAAATACCTTAAAATATGTAGCCCTAACTTTGACGGAGTATAATATGTTTAAAATAAAGGAAGGTAACTGATTTTACTACTTCTCTAAAATATCCACCATTTTTATGTTTTTTTTAATGTTGCCAGTATTCAAAATCTACATAAATTATGTAAATCGATATTGTATTTGAATAGGCAAGAGCCCTGAAACATGAAAGACGAAAAAACGTTTAAAAAGACAAAATAATAATAAATTGTTTTTGACCTAGTCATATGACACGATTTTTAGACAATAGTTTCTCGCAAGGTTTTTGTAACGAAGTTCCTTATCGCGCGGTACGCTGGCTAAGGGGGCTAGGCGAGCGTCACGAATAATCCTCACGACACTTTTGCTATAGTGCGTAGCGCTTGGAGAGGGGGCAGGCCGAGTATAGGATAGGATAGGATAGCATAGGATAGGATAGGATAGCACAGGCCAGCACAGCCTAGCACAGGCGAGCACAGGCAGACACAGGCGAGCACAGGCTAGCACATGCGAGCACAGGCTAGCACATGCGAGCACAGGCGAGCACAGGCTAGCACTGACAAGCACAGGCTAGCACATGCGAGCACAGGCAAGCACAGGCTAGCATTGGCAAGCATAGGCTAGCATAGGCAAGCTTAGGCTAGCATAGGATAGCATAGCATTCAGTTCGGTTCTGTTGTGGGTATACGCATAATAAATAATGTGGGTGTCTATCAGAACGTTAAGATATTGCTGATGAAGTTAGGTAAGTATCGATGTTATACAGACATTATGCTCTACTTTCATACAATAATACTAATGCTACATATACAAGTCTCGTTTAAATAATTTTGAATGCGTGTGAACTTCGTTCCAATCGACATGTGGAATCCACATGTGGAATTTTTTATATTTAGTTTACATTTTGAATAACGCTTTTTGTTATATGCTAGCAGATGAAATGGAGGAACTGCTTTAAAATACCTGCGAAGCGAAAATGAGAGACGACAGAATTTCTGGATGAAACAACAGGATGAAACCTTATGAGCGGAATCGATTCATTGAGTTTCAGTGCTGCCAAAACAAAACATATTAATATAAAAACTGTTTTAAATCCCCCAACATGTTCATTAGTAATTAATAACCTATGCTCTATGTCAGTTAATAGTATATTGTTGAGTAAAAATATTTACATTGTTCATTATTAAGAACATAAATAAATAATTAGTTTTAATGATTTAATCGAATCAAGTCGATTAAAAATAGTCGATTTATAACATTTTTAGAATAGTAATAATGACATGCATGACCCGCTAAATGAAAGGCATACATTGACACAATTGACAGCTGTCACTACAGTATTTCCTTTCGTTCTGTTAAGTTCGTTTGTTGAATGCTTTAGTGATTTTTTCTTTCTTTAAGTTTTACGTCGAGTAATGTCATGTCAGTGCTTTGGTATTTAGGTTGGGGTAGATATAATGATTTAACTGCCCCAGCTCAATTCCTAGACGACATTTTTGATGAATACACATACGAAAATGAATAACTCCCTTATGTCAAACATGTCCAAAACATTTCTCGTTTGCTTGGAAAACAGCAGAATCACTATATATATAAATATGATACCCAGTAATTGCACTGAAAGACTAGAAGACAAAGTCAAAACATACTAACCGGTTTCAATAACATTACCTATTACTTGATGAACTTCAGCAGCTTATTTCGCATGAATCCGTCGAATTAGAGAAATTATTTTTTTTGTCATTGAATCTAAGGCCAAAACCCTACAAAATGATGGTTTGTAGGGTTTTGATGGTTTTAAGGTTTCATCATGGCACAAAAAAAAATTTTGAAACGAAACTCCATACATCATTGCACATTCTCCTTTACGCTTGTCATTATTCTAGAAGAAGAAGGAGAAGAACGATACAGGAAAGAAGACAAACCGCTAATAAACAATAAATCTATTTATTAGCAGTTACTATATTGATAGATGACTATGTGTGCCAAATAAATAAATTTGATTTCATTTATTGTCAATCGCTGATCAAAATAATTATAAAGTATTAGAATAATGATCATGACTTATAAATAAATATAAATATAGTTAAAGACGCTAAATTAAAATATATTAAAAAAGCATAAAAACATTATAACTATGATTTAATTTCATAGTATCACGGTTAGAGCAATAGGCTTCCGAAATGTAACTCCTGATTATATTAAAATTTTATATTTTTACTATGAACGAGCATTACCTTTTTGAAGCTTGTGCTTCTCTTTTTCTAACCGCTCGCTCTCTAACCTCTCTCTCTCCCTTTCCTGCCAAGACTTGGGAGGCGGGAACTGCAACTCTCCGTTATCCCCCAGAGGCCCGTAAAGCTTGGGTGGAGGACGTCTCTTCGGTGGCATGTTGATCAAACGCATTGATTTTGTGGCAGGGGTATAGCAATTACCTAACAATTACAATCTTATCAAACAGTTACAATACTTATAAATCGGTGAAGTGTGGGTGAACACGCAGTCGGTTGTATGGGAGTCTACTTAAATATTTATTTTATTCTGTTCTGTTTTTTTTAGTATTTGTTGTTATAGCGGCAAAGGAAATATATTATCTGTAACAATTTCATTATCTAACTATCACGTTTTATGAGATATAACGATGGTGCTTTATGAAGGAAAATTATTTACCTATGGAGTCTACAGGTTTAGCATGATCAAAGCTGTCGCGGTAAGGGACACCGCGCGTCCAAGACTTCGCCTGCATCAGCGGTGGAAACTCACTGCAGCCTCCGTCACCTTCACCTGTGATGAGATTGTATCTTTAAACATTAAGGCTCAACGAGAATTCGGAAAATTTCCAATCGTTCTTATAATTTAGTAAAAACCATTTTCGTGAAGATTATTTGTACATCGGAGCCTGCGCCGGCTCCTACCTCCGTTGCGTCATAAATTATCGAAAAATGGATTTCTTTAGAGTCATAGCGTTTCGAAAGTAGACAAATATTTACTTACCCAGAAAGAGAGTAAGCCTAGACGGGTAATTAATATAGAAAACGGCAAATACATCCTAAATATTTAGATGTGGGTTTGATACGATGATAATGAAAGAAAGAAAATAATACCACATATAGAAAGAAATAAAACTTGAGCGCCATGCTGAAGGAAAATTTCATAATGAAAAATGAATCAATATTTGGGTTTGCTATTTGCTTGTAAGCAACTTGAACTACAGAAACATCGCTAATTTTCTTTAAATTAAAATTAACTGTGTTAAATGCGGTAGGCAGTACAAAAATCGGCTTGTTAAAATTTGTTACACTGATTGTATTTTTTGTAACATTAGAATAGTCCGGTAAATTTTACTAAAATTTTAATATAAGTAGCATAAATGAGCCACGAGCAGAGCAGACACCCGTGAAGGAATGTTGTATGGGAGTCTACTTAAATATTTATTTTATTCTGTTCTGTTTTTTTTAGTATTTGTTGTTATACCGGCAAAGGAAATATATTATCTGTAACAATTTCATTATCTAACTATCACGTTTCATGAGATATAATGATGGTGCTTTATGAAGGAAAATTATTTACCTATGGAGTCTACAGGTTTAGCATGATCAAAGCTGTCGCGGTAAGGGACACCGCGCGTCCAAGACTTCGCCTGCATCAGCGGTGGAAACTCACTGCAGCCTCCGTCACCTTCACCTGTGATGGGATTGTATCTTTAAATATTAAGGCTCAACGAGAATTCGGAAAATTTCCAATCGTTCTTATAATTGAGTCAAAACCATTTTCGTAAAGATTATTTGTACATCGGAGCCTGCGCCGGCTCCTACCTCCGTTGCGTCATAAATTATCGAAAAATGGATTTCTTTAGAATCATAGCGTTTCGAAAGTAGACAAATATTTGCTTACCCAGAAAGAGAGTAAGCCTAGACGCATAATTAATGTAAAAACGGCAAATAAATACTTGATACGATGATAATGAAAGAAAGAAAATAATACCACATATAGAAATAAAACTTGAGCACCATGCTGAAGGAAAATTTCATAATGAAAAATGAAGCAATATTTAGGTTTGCTATCTGCTTGTAAGCAACTTGAACTACAGAAACATCGCTAATTTCCTTTAAATTAAAATTAACTGTGCGACATACTATTGATAAAATGAGGTAGGCAGTACAAAAATCGATTTGTTAAAATTTATTACATTGATTGTATTTTTTTTTTGTAACATTAGAATAGTCCGATAAATTTTATTATAATTTTAATATAAGTAGTAAGGAATCAGATGGACTTTATTATTTATAAATATGGTATTACTATCTTCAGGGTAGTAGTTCTTGGCAGCCTGCAGCAGCACGCTGTCTTTTTCTAGTTCGCCATCATATCCCGCACGAGTGATGCTGGCGAGAGTAGGCTGCGAGCGAGCACCTCCTGTGAACCGAGGAGGGCATCGCTTCGCATCGCTCGCTTCGCTTGTAACGCTCGCACCGCTCGCACCACCTCGGGTACGTTTCCGCGCCCCTCTACTGCTTGCCATCTATGCCACCAATAGTTCTTTGGCGAAATTTTCGGGTTTAAAAATCAGATTAAATGTAAAAACAGTCAACTTAGTTTTTGTATGCACTTAAAAAGGTATATATTCATAATAATTGTAGTATTTATTCAGCAGTTATTACATGTTTCTTACAATATTAGTATAGCAAACGTAAGTTTTTTTTTTAATTTTCAAACTTTAATAAATATATACATTTTTAACAGGAAAAGGAATCGAATACCGTAAAATGGTTAAATACAAAAATACATCGGTGTGCAAATCATTGGAACAAATATATAGGTCACTAATATATTTGTTCCAATGATTAATCACTTTCGGTATCTGAAGAAACCGAAAGTGATTTCCAGTGAAAACTCCTGAGATTTTATCGGAGTTTGGAATGAAAGCAAAAAGATTACTCAAACATGAGCACCTCTAAATATGATAAAATTGATTAAATAGTATTTCTTTTCTAAATTTTGTGCATTAAAATGACTAAAGGTAATTAATTATTTTAACTAGTTTCTTCTTAAAGATTACAATGTTAAACAGACACAGGTTAAAATAATAGTGAAGTTTTTTTATTCTATTGATCATTCCTAGCGATTTTTAAAAACCGTCTGCAATCCTGAAAAGTGTAAAAATTCAGAAATCATAGTACAAACTCTGTAATCAGGACTAAACTTTCAAAGGAATCAAGTAACATTAATATATATTTTTACGTGCAACATACATACTTCTTATTTCTTCAAAAACTTGTATTTATATTTATTTCTCATACATAATTTTATAAAAATACTATTATTCTTTATGTGCACTTGTTGGAATACTATTGACAACTGAAATAAACGTTGCCATGGCAACGAGAAGCGGTTTCTATGGTTACAAAAAAAATTGTTGGTGAGCAAAGAGTACGTATGTATGTATATCCATACTGTAATTTACTTTGTACAAACATAATTAAAAAATCAATGGTACAAAATGTTTACCGAAAAGAAAAAATATTCCTATATGTACATTGATATTTAAGTGTATTATTGATTCTAGATAAACATTTCATTGTATAAAAAGAAAATAATATGTAAAATTATGATTTACGGTATGTTCAAATATAGCGGTAACTGTAGGTGAATTTAAATAAATAAAGGCAAATACTCTCAAATATAAAATCATTTGTCCTGTAAATATCTTTGATTATAATTATTATAATCAAAACGGAAACTATTGAAACCCATCTATGGTCAGTACAGTTATTTTTGGAGTGTTTTTGAACTTCAGTCTGCTAAACTGTAAGTTGAAAATTATCTTCGCTTTGTTTACATGAAATACAAAAACAGAAGATTATAGGTCGGTGATGTCGCAGAGTTTATCACATGGAGCAATTTTTTTTCAGATTCCTGAGAATAATGTTTTTGAATTGATTTTCCTGTTCATTTTCCTGTTGTTATCTCAAAATTACGAATATATTTTGGATCGGGGTTAAAATTAAGAGCCTTAGTTGTAATAATTTTTGATAGGCCCGTTTCTGTTCAATGGTTTCCAAGACATATGATTTTGAAATTTCGTGGCCTGGAAAATCAATAATGACGCAAAGGAAAATCAAGAAATGAAACAAATTTCATTGAAAATCTTTTTTTTTTAATTTAAATGCAACTATATCTAAATTTTCTCAACAAATGTTTCCAAGGGAATTTCTTTTTTATGGACTGCTTTGTAGTAGGGGTTGTGTTTGGCCGAATGGAGTGACCTTCGAGGTGTGGACAAATTTAACGAATCAGATGTGGTTTGAGAAATAGAAGAAGCTGATTATTGGTAGGTGAAGGTGGTGGAGACGAATAAACAATGCCTTGTTGATCTGTGTTGTTCGTAATTTCCCAAGAGCTTGTTTCTGCCTGCGATAACAATTTTGTTAATGATCGATTTGATCGTCTTGTTAATCGAGCAATGATATCGTTTCCAGGAGGCTTCTTTCTGGCGACAGCGGGAGAAATTGATAAACTTGCAGCTGGAAAGTCGTTACCACTTACAGAAGTAGAAAGTCTTAAAGGATTATTGTCAGTTATTGGATTCTTTAATATTGGTAGCTCGGTGGCGTAGGGGATAAGCGCCGTGGCCTGCGATCGTTTTTGTTAAGCAACTTTCGTAAGGGTCGGTCCCTGGATGGGTGACCAAAAAATTATTTTCTCGAGCTACTCCGTGTTTCGGAAGGCACGTTAAGCCATTGCTCTGTTAAAACCCTCCAATCCGCATTGGGCCAGCGTGGAGGGTCATGGCCCATCCTCCTTAACAATCCATAAGGAAGGCCTCAGCCCCTGCAGTGGGGACGTAAAAAGGGCTGATGATGATGATTGGATTCTTACACAATACCTGTTGGTCTTCCTCTTCTAAGTTTACTCTAATCGAATCATTGTTTTCTTACAGCTGTCTCATGTTTTTTTTCTTTAATTTATTCTATTCGAACTTTGACGATTCTTCGTCCTCAATTTTTTTGTTGTTGGTATTATTTTCCGGATCTTTTCTGTTTCAGATATTTTTCCTTTAGCTTAGTCTTACCCTGAGTATCATTTTTTATTAGTTCGTATGGACGACGTTCTGCTTTTCTCTTTTTCAAAATCTTCTCTTTACTTTGCTTGCTTCAGGGCATTGTGATATATAAAATATGAATTCAAGTAATAAATATATGTATTTTAGGTTGATTATTTGTTGTTGCCTTCCATGACAGAGCCGAGGTGGTTTTTATTTGACTAAGCACTTATCTTTTGAAATGAAAGTCAATTTTCAGTCATTTGAAAAATAAAGAAAATATTTAATTAAGTCTTTTTCTTTATAATTAATAGTTTTACAACAAAATTATAGTTCAAACTTTAATTGAAAAAATACATGACAAATGAACGTACTTAAATATACGAGATATCCTTCCTGACATCTGAAATTGAGCCTCTCAGGAATCACCCTCGAACATCTGAACCCTCATTTAATTGTGAATATTGGGGAACTGTCAGATACCGAAACAATACGGGTGAATGTTTCCACAACACTATAACAGTTTTATCTCATACAGACCATCAAGACTGAAAAAAAATATAGGTAGATGAAAGAGTTTACGATTGGCGATGATGAAATTAATCTACTGCTACTGTTAAATTTCAACGTAACTTTACTAGAAACAAAGATAAACATATGTATGTATGTATAGATGGTACTTAAAGAAAAATATCATTTTTGCCTTTTTTGTCTGTTTGTTTATTTCGGATAATCTCTGAATCGGCTGGACTGATATTGACAAGACTTTGCTGGCAGATGGCATATGTAATAAGGAGTAACTAAGGCTACTTTCCACGCGAATAAAGTCGCGGGCACATCTAGTTATAAAGAAAATGCAAAGAGAACTCTTATATTAGAGTGTGATTTTAGTCTAATAATCCGTCACGTACGCGTGTAATGGACACAGTGCAATCAAAATCAGCCCAATTTTAAGTAGTAATCGTTTTAAAGAGATAACCGCTTTCGTATCTATAAATAGGATGAACGAAAAAGACACGCTTTATTGTACAGATATTTCCTTTGGTGATACAATGGCGAATCGTAGTTACATTGAAGTAATTGTTTTGTGTGTGTTAACTATTCTAGTGAAAAATGGATTAGCAGGTACCAGTGAACATTTAATTTATTACCTATCTCTGAAAATAACAATTTTGAAAAAAGAGAAAAATTTATCCGAACTATTTCATAAATATTATCATCTTTGAAGAAAACTACATTTTATATTTACACGTTATTAAAACAGTATTTGTTTTATTATATTATATAAATATAATTGGCTCGGTCCTACGTGGCCTTATGTAGATGTAAAAATATATAAATTACCTAATATTAGCCGACAAAAATTGTCTTATACAAATTTCAATGAAACTCACAATTTCCCAAACTTCAAATTAGGTAAATATTAGAAAAACTTCACTAATATTTACCTAATCCGCTCGCCAACAGATGGAATTTTATTTCTATGTATTACATTATTTGGTGGAAATGTGAATAGGGGAGGGTGAATTCCGTCTCGACTACACGTACAGTCCTGAAGCCAATGGATGGATCAAATTCCACGGAGTGCCGGCTACCTGGTTCGAGGCAAGACTCAAGTGCTACTATGAAGGTAATTATATTTTTCGAAAGTGCCCGTGAGACATTTGACATAGAGTCTAATCATATATATAATAAATAAGACATCATCCTAAGTAACAGTTATTGTGTCACTTACACCCAGTTGCACAAACGTACATTAAGGTTTAATGCTCAAAGGAATCTCTCTAAGGAATGTTCTAAATTGGAAAATTTCTATAGGCTATGACGCTATAAGCTAATAACAATTTTATAGGACATTTGTGTAACTAGGTGTTAAAGTTACATATTTTCTAAACTTTTCCAAAGTAAAAGATTTTTCAAACATCTAGCAATTTTTTCATATACCAATTAGTTTTTTTTTCTATTTATTAGGGTAAACAAACAGTGACAATTTGTTATATAGTTAAAAGTAAAAATATATAATATAATTTAAAATCGCCGCCTTCACCGTTTCTCACATTAACATATTTTCAATACTCTGTTTTTGGATTGATTTTTACAACTATTACACGACTACAGTTTTAAAATTCCAAACGATTTCTTAATTACAATATAGATTACTTATGTGTTTAATGGAGTATTTCAAGTAACATTTTTTTTAAATATACCACGACTCACCGCCATAATATCTATCGAATTAAAAGATATGTTAAATGCATTAACCATACGGTAAAGTGGCGAGCGCTTGCCGACATTTGTTCGGCATCGGGCAGTTGCAAATAATTAACATTGATTTCTACAACGAGTTCTGGTTGGTTGGTTCTGTTACTTAGTTTATTTATTAAAGAAATACAGTCATATTTGTTACGACATAGAACGTATAGAATATTCATTTTACGTAAAGTACGTCTTTGACTTAGATCTATTATATTATACTTTGT